GGCAACCACCTCAGCCTGTCCCAGTGATCCCACCACAACCAGTCACGCCCCAGCCCTACCCGAATCCAGTACCTGTAATTCCACCGCAATGTGTGTCCAGTTGTATGCCCGCATGTCAACAGCAATGCATTCAGAATGCCTGTCCAACGTCCTGTCAGCCAATGTGTCGTCCACAGTGCATTGCTCCACAACCCTCGCCACTACCCCAGCCATACCCTCAACCTCGGCCATACCCTCAACCGCAGCCATACCCTCAAGTGCAATGCCCGAACAGCTGCTCACCGGCATGCAATTCACAATGTATTCAACAACAACAAATTTGTGCTATAACCTGCCAAGCAAGCTGTAAAACAACATGCAACAACAATGCGCAATGCTTCCAAGTTTGTCTGCCAATTTGTGAACGTTCGTGCTTGCAAGAACCTGGAATTATACCTGGTGGTGTATCACCTCAGCCGGTGCCTACCATTCCACCCACACCAGTGATACCTCCTACCTATCCCATTCCCCGTCCACAACCATGTCAATCGTTCTGTCAACCTGCTTGCTCACCACAATGTTTGCAACAACAACAGACCTGCTTCGCTGCCTGTCAGCCGAGTTGCCGTAGTTCATGCAACACAGCCCCCAGATCATGCGCTGAACAATGCCAACCTACCTGTATCCGTATCTGTATGCAACGTAATCCATCCGGTAATGTGCTACCGGAACCGATCAACCCGCCAGTCCCCGTGATACCACCTATGCCACCACAATGTCCATCGATATGTCAGCCAGGTTGTCAGTCTCAATGCGTCGATCAACAACAAGGCTGCATACAAGCATGCCAACCGATGTGTCAAGCATCGTGTGGATCAAACGTCAACTGTGCAATATCCTGTTTGTATAGCTGTCAACAGTCTTGTGCTCAACGACAAAACCCACCAGTTCCAGTGATACCACCGGTTATGCCTCAACCACAACCAAATTGCGGTCTCAACTGTCAGGTACCAATTCCAGCTCATGCATTTCTAGATTCATCTTTTGAAAAAATCTTTTCCAGTCTCCAAACAAAATTTCCTATCCCTAATGCGCTCATATACGAGTTTTTTTAGAGACTCTATTTTCCTTTCTCAATTTTTCAAACGCTGTCAATCGTCATTTAATAAATCAGAGAGGTGGACCGAATTCAGACCGTTTCTAACATGAAGATATTCGTTAAAATTTTGAGTTAAATGATCATTTCAGGCTGGCTCTCCAATGCAGTGTATACCACAGTGTCAACCATCATGTCAATCATCGTGCATATCACGACAGGACAACTTCATTAATCAACAAGCCCCAGCGATCGTTCAGTGTACCTCGTATCCAGCTATTCAAAATCCCCAACCATCACAAGTCATTCCTCCATTTGCTGGCAATAACGGTTGCGGATGTTCATCCGGTTATGTCAGGTGCATGCAGGATTCATCGTGTTGTCTTCGTAGACGTGTTCGATCTGCAGTAGCTGCTAAAAAAGCCGAGAAGTAATAAACAATACACTAGTTATATATCAACAATAATAAGCGATATAATGAACGTTGTTTGTTTTTGTTTATATATTTGCATAAAGCAAAGAGAGAATGCATTTCAACGACGAATGG